GGTTTTTTTTTATTAAATTTAATACCATTGTTCGAATTATAAATCTAACAAAACGTTTCTCGATTGAACCAGAAATATATTTTTAAAAGTGATATGAAATAGATTAATAATCAATTGCTTAATTATTACGTTATATCAATGAAAGTGAATTTACAGAAGACTCTCGTTATATCGCCACACATGACGCTGCAGGAGCGCAAAAGTCAAGCTTCCAAGTTCTTATTTGAAGGGCAGGAAAGAGGTGAATGTGTATTATGTTTGTAATCTACGATATAACTACAGAGCAAAACTAGTATACATTAAAATTCCTGTGTGAAACTTACTGAAATTTACTATATGAAACAGGAGATAGAGTATAGACTCGTTACAAGCGAAACGCTCGAAACTGGGCTGTTGCCTATAAGGTGTAGGTAAATTTTTCATCATCTTCAAAGTTATGACATGAGACAAATATGAGTCAAAGTTTTTATAAACACATATGTTTCATCTATTGAATTAATATCGCTAAGAATATGAATATTTTCTTTTCATCATTATATGCCATAAACTTGACTCTCAGATGCGCACTCATAAAGCGCACAACCTTGCTGCACTTCATGATTTAATATGATGCAAATTTGCTGTAAAGTTTAAGTACATCTGTCTATCAGGGTTGGTTGATGTTTGCCGACTACTTCGAACGTAGAAAAGGACCTCGAGTGAAGAAGAGAACGGAGCGAAAACAAACCAATGGTGGAACTACACCTTATAGTAGGCAACAGTCCGGTCTCGAGCGTTTCGCTTGCAACGAGTCTATACACGGTAAATATGGTCCGAATTATATTGTGTTTGGTATCATTTTAATCAGAATAAAAAATGTCAGAAACATCACGGAAAAAGTTTTATAAAAAAAAAATGAAAAATAACAAAGTTAGATTGTTGCATTAGTGTTGCCTCACTGACTGTTCGCGTCGCGCGATTGTATGCTTGCTCGAGCGGTTAGCTTTAAATTTGGCGCTGCGCGGGGGTGTGCGGTTAGACGATGTCACGCGGCCCTGCGCAGGCGCGAGCAGCGGGTCGGTGGCGGTGGCGGGGTATGGCCCGGGACCGGGCCCGCGTTTTGAACCGTGATCGGTCAATTTGTGCGGATGCTTTTCCCAGAGATTTTCCGAGTTTTTGATTTTGCCAAAGGGTGAATTGTGGTTTTGGATCTTGGACTGGTTGTGTTCGTTGACGGGCGCTATGGCTGTCGGGCGTGTGTCCTATTTTGTTGAAGCATCGCACGGCTGGGCGATCTTGTGGATGGTTCAAACGGCTACCTGTGCGCGTTGTTGAACGGCACAGTTCGATGATCGGTTGATTCTGCCCATCTGGCTAGCCGTGCAGTTAGTGGTGCGTTTTTAAGGCCACTTTGTCCTCTTTGCCGGGACACCTCCTCTGATCAGGGCTTGTAGTTTTTGGTAAGGACCACGACGATTTGTTGCGACGTCGGCGAGACACCATCCGATACGATTGGTAAGAGAGTTCTCGATTGTGTGAGTATATAACAGTTTGAATGATTATGCAAGTGCATGTTAGTCTTAATCTCTAGTTTTTATTACACGATTTTCACATTTATATTTTATTTGTATTATTTTATGGATATATATTCTTTTAGTATAATTTATTTGCTGGGACCAGGCTTTTTCCCCACTTTCGACTGGCGTTTTTTACAGCCGGTACCCGTAGAGTAGAGTCAGCTAGGTTTTTTGAGATATTAAAATTATTTTTCTTTTTAGACATATATAATTTGTTTTATTTATTTACCGGCGACGCCAATTCCACCTCATGTCCTTCCTCATTCTATGTTACCCCGAATAGTCGGAACACTGACATAGAGCGGTTTGTTTTCGCTCTGTCCTCTTTTGCACTCGCTGTTCTTTTCTACGTTTGAAGCAGTCGGCAAACATAAAACAATAGTGGAACTACACGTTATAGGCAACAGTTCGGTGCTGAACGTTTTGCTTATAACGAATCTATAGGGTGTCCCAGAACTCGCATTGGTCCCGTGAAGGGGTGGTAGCTGGGGTGATTCTGAACAACTTTTTCCTTTGCAAAAAAGTCGTTTGAAGCTTCGTTTTTGAATTATTAAGGAAACACATATTTTTGAATTATTACGGCAGCGTCGCGTCGGCTACGAAAGCGGGGCTTGACGTGGGTCGTGATCGAACGGCTCGGCACCCTGTTGACATTGCACAATAAAAAAATTGAACTGGTTGAACATTTTTAGTTGTTGTTTAGAATGTTTAGAATTTCCTTTTTTACATTATGACAGGCGACAAGATTCGTATTCATTTTAAACAACAACTAAAAATGTTTAACTAGTTCAATTTTTTTATTGTGCTATGCCAACGGGGTGCCGAGCCGTTCGTTCGCAACCTACGTCAAGCCCCGCTTTTGTAACCGACGCTGCCGTCCCTGAGCCCGCGCGCTATACGCGCTCGGATTGGTCAGTGTTTTTCCTTAATAATTCAAAAACGAAGCTTCAAACAACTTTTTTGGAAAGGAAAAAGTTGTTCAGAATCACCCCAGCTACCACCCCTTCACGGGACCAACGTAAGTTCTGGGACATCCTGTATACTGTAATTATATTCAAAACAGAAGATTTCATCGATTTTCATGACCTTGAAATATGTTGTAAAAGTCAACATTCTGAACAACTTTTTCTTGATATGTTACCATCAGGCGGCTCTAGTTTTCGGAATATTTGCAAAAATATATTCGACACTGCATGTTGTATTTTACTGTTTACAATATGTATATCGACGCGTGATAGTTTGAATTCTCAAATTTTGAAATTATTGAATTTAAAAATTTTAGAATGGTGCAGGTGACAGCCCACATTTGGGGGAAGGTCAAGACCACACTGGCCCCTATTTAGGTATTCTGATGATATATTGTTTATTTGACTGAGTTTCCGCTTTGACGATAGTATGATTTTAATAATCAAATAGTTGCTTTTTGCAATACCATAGCTGAAATGTTTTAAATTTCGAATAACGGCAATATAATAAGTATAAAACTTAAGGAGGTAGACAAGGGTAATGCAGCGAGGTGACATTACCGGCAAAAATGGGCCTAAAAAGGGGTCCGGGATTTTTCGTTTTTCGTCCTTATATGAGTATATTTGAGGCTGGGTGAAATCGTGTTGCCTTTCCAGATCGTGTTGCGCGCACGCTTCCGAAATGCATATGGCACGACAGCTGAGAATTAGTCCTTTCAAGTTCGTAACAGAACACGCAAGTGGCTCCACCAAGCCCAACGAAAAAGCTGCTGTAAGGTAGGTCGGTACCTGCCTTAAAGAGGTCACGTACCGTGTCTATCCTGGAGTAAGCCTCAATTTTAACTTAATTTTGTATTTTATATTATTTTCATTTTGTTTTGCACTGTTCCTTCAAATATATGAAACTCTTTCATTAAAATATTATACATTCAACTTTAGGTTAATATCCTTGTATACCTATATCTTGTAAGTCTGGATTATGATTGACGTAGGACCCGCTGTTTAAAGGTCAATACCTTAACCCGTTTTACAGTAGCATTATCCTGCCCAAACCTAAGCGGTTGATTTTTCTGTCTTATATGAGTTAAAAATACTATCGAAAATGAGTTAGGTTAGGTCAGGCTTGTCCAACTGCTACAAGCGAAAGAGTAGTAGTGTCAGTAGTGGGGCAGCGGTTTCTAGCAGTTAGGACTAGGAATACGTATCAGATATTGGAAGAGTCGGGAAACCAATTGGAAGAGTGGGGGGAGCCAAGCGCGAGCTGCGTGGTAGGGGGAGGAGCTACGAGTGGCCCGCGGGCCGCAGGTTAGACAGGCCTGGGTTAGGTCATATAAAAAGAGGGACACTATGAGGCGTTCGGCTATGAAGTATAACGTAAATTAAATTAAAGCTTTTTACGAATATTTCAAAAACTAAATCCAAGCGACGGTATCGTGTATACAGAAAATTTGTTCACAATGTTGACCTTTTCAATATACAGGGTGTCCCGTAACTTGTGTAACTCCCGGAAACGGGGGGTTGCTGGGGTGATTCTGAACAACATTTTCCTTTACCAAAATGTCGTTTGAAGCTTTGTTTTTGAGTTATTAAAGAAAAACACTGGCCAATCAGAGCGCGCGCCGGGCGCGCGCTGAGCCGCGGGAGCGTTGGCTTTCAACGGCGCTCGGTCGTGGTCGTGAACAAATGCATTGGCACAGCGTGGGTACCAAGTGGAGCGTGCGATAAATGTTACATCGTCTTAAATTAAGAACAATGTGGAATCATTCGTTATTCATGAATAATGAATGCGTTTGTGCCAATGCGTTTGTTCACGACCACGACCGAGCACGGCTGAAAGCCAACGCTCTCGTGGTTCGGCCTGCGTTAAAGGCGCGCTTGATTGGCCAGTGTTTTTCTTTAATAACTCAAAAACGAAGCTTCAAACGACATTTTGGTAAAGGAAAATGTTGTTCAGAATCACCCCAGCAACCCCTCGTTTCCGGGAGTTACACAAGTTACGGGACACCCTGTATTTTAAGGCCATTGAAATCGGTGAAGTCGTTACTTTGAAAATAATTACCAAAACGGAACTTGCTACTTAGGAAATATTAATTATTTGTCTTGCTGATTGTCTTGCTGACGCTTCTGTTCGTAAACAGTGCAGTTTACTTTTTCATGGTTGACCTAAATCCAGTAGATTCGAATCCAGTTGTCACTTATATAGCTTGTGGCAATGCTTCTCATTGGGTGGTTTAGCCATTCACCTTTAAGGAATCGACAGGATCGAATGCGAAATTGGATTGATGTCATATCCGCTGACCCTATTGATGTTGGGGCGCTTCAATACGCCGATTGCTTTACGATGTTTTCTTGGAAAGAGTTTTACTAATATAGTGGTTTTATCGAAGAGTGAATGTTCGCGACATCTGTGTGCTATACTAGAATAAACTGAAGTGGGATCTATAGCGTTCTCCATACTTTCATTGTACAATATGGCAAAGCGTAAGCGTGTGCGTTGATCTACTGTAAACTTTAGTTATCATCATATTGTTTCTTTCCTTTACATTACAATATTATGTACTATTCTATAATTATATACTTTCATATGAAAATAAAGTTCTTTTATTTAACAAAGAGTATACATGTATCTATGTGATGTTCAAGTAAAGCTGATTGTGTGGGGTATTTTAATTTCATCTTACTTTTGAATTCTTTTAATCGTTATACACAATGGCGATCGAAAGCTTAAAACAGAAGAACTTCTGCAAGATTAAATCAAATGACGAATTTGTGTAAGTCGGTCAGATTAATATTTGGGTACCTTTTGAAACAGAATAACTATTTTAAAATTAGACTGTTTGTAACTCATAGTAATATTGATGGATTTCGATAAAATTAGTAGCATATATAGAACTGACATAAATCTTCAAAATCTACTGCTTAAATTTTTATTACAAACTTGGGTGAAAAATAATAAAAAGTGACTTTTACTTTTTTCTTCACAATTCTGACCAGTTTTAATTTTTTCAAAATTTTGTCTACATATAATCTAGTAAACTAATTCATCTAATTTTGGTGAAAAGTTGTATGGTCTTACAAGAAATTGTTTTCTTTGAAAGAGTCTCTAAATATTAATGTGACTAGGATATGCTTTACTGTCATATACAAGTCTTACTATTTAAATCATCACAGTACTTTCATCGAAAGATAATCTTACCAGAAGCTTTTTTTATTAAGTAGAAATTATTTTCATACATTTATTGAAAGGTTTTTCTTTTTAACCCTTCGTGAACGATCCACGTATATATGTATGTATCCAAACATAATTATCATAGTAATTTATAATTCCGTACATATTGTGTTATATTCTTGATACAAAACACTGCTATAAGTGTAGACAGTAAAGGTTTATAATATATGTTTTTATATTCACAGCTTCTTACAAGAACCAGGAATCGTGTAGATGTATAGCCTTACTGCACAACAATGAAATAATCTTACACAAGCTTCCTAAATGGTATATCTTGCAAACTTTTATGTTTAAAATACTGAGGGCAAATTTATTATATTTATTGAATCCACACCGCCAATTACGAAACAGAATAATTTAAATGACGTAATAATAAACAAGATCCTTAATGAAATACCTAAAGTAAAACATAAATTACTGATAAGGACAATAATACCACATACGCAAAAGATATCAGAAACAAACGATGCAGCAATACTTGCAAGTAATCTAAATTTTCTGGCTAAAACTAATATTATGACTGACAGAGACTTTAAAAGTATAATTAAGAACAGTATTAGCAACATTTGGAATACACAATGAATAAACAACAAAAAGACTGTCCTGCAAAATGTAAGGAAAAACACCCACGAACGCAGCCCAGTCACTCAATTTAATAGGAAAGACCAAATCTTAATAACAAGGCTTTGAATAGGACATACATTGCTCACGCACCAACACCAAATCATAAAAACTACAAGACTAGGATGTGAACAGTGTAGGAACCCAATTATTGTGAATCACATATTAATAGATTGCCCAAAATTCCACAACAAAAGGGAAAATGCTAATCTCGACAAGAAGAAAATTCGCAAAATGTCGTTCCTTTTCACAGTGCAAAAACGTAATCAAAATTGATTCCATTAACATAAGGCACTTAATGTAATATAGCATTAATTGTGCAATGTAACTATTAACTATGTATTTTTTGGATTTACATATGCATTTATAGCATGTAATAGTCGCTAACACCCAGGCGGAGGACTTAAAATAATAAAATAAAAAGAAAATATATATGCTTTGATTGATGGAATTATTACTTCTTTTACTTTAAATTGTGAGAAAATGATCTATATGCGTTAATCGGTCGCAAGAGTGCGCATCTTTCGTTATACGTTTTTTTTTGGCGTTGCGATCGATTTAGTTAGTCCACGGAATGCCCACGTGCAGTATACACGTCTTACGATTAGATATATATTCTTTCTTAATTATGTATTCTCTTTTAATTATAACATTTATTTTTCTTTGTATAAATATAGTTTCATCAGTTTAAGTGTGTAGTGCTTGAGAAATCCTCACATAAATTAATAATACTTTTACTTTAAAAATAATACACTTTGATTGAAAGAAAAATACTTTATATTAATTTATCTGGCGTGTAAAAGAAATAAATTCTTGTTCATTTATTTTTTGTTAAATATATAAGAGAACCATGATTGCTTTCCGGTTGAACAGTGACGTATTATAACTACAGGGTCTTTCAATAAGAGCGATAGATCTTTGAATCGAAATAAAGCGACAAATACGGAAGATAATCTAGTATTCACTGCTTTATTTTCAAGTATATTCGATGGCATTATACATGAAATACATCATATAAATGACCACCACGATTGTGTTTGGTGGAGTTTATACGACAAACCCAATTTTCGATGACTCTGGCACATAAATCAGGTCGTATCTCACCGATAGCACGAATTATGTTTGCTTTAAGATCATCCACAGTTTGTGGTTTGTTAGAATAAACAAGAGACTTAACATGGCCCCACAAGAAAAAGTTTAATGGAGTCAAGTCGCAAGATCTTGGTGGCCAGTTGACAACGGCATTTCTCGATATAATCCTATCGTTGAATTTCACGACGCATACGATGGCCAGTAGGCATCAGTTCTTGAGTTAACTGAATCTTGTAAGGATGAAGACCTAAGTCTCTATGCAAAATTCGCCATACAGAAGTCCTTACAGCTGCAATATTTTCTTTACTTCTTGCACTACGTTGACGTGTCGGAATACATATGTTGATCAACAACTGAACCAGTGGCTTCGAATTTTTGTACCAAACGACGAATTGTAAGTTCTTTTGGTCGATTATGTTGATCATAAATTGAACGAAGTGCACGATAATAAATTGATAATAAATTTTAATAATTTCAATGCGTTGAGCAACTGAGTACCTATTCATAATGAGTTGCCAAGCACTGCTGAGTACAAATATCACGTGACATTGGCAATTGAATAACAAACATGGCGGCTGTGACAATTGAAAGATCTATCGCTCTTATTGAAAGACGCTGTAGATAGAGGCCAGGGCGGGCCTGGTTCCCTAAATATGTAGGCTGGTTCCTTTCCAAAATAATGGACCCCTCATTATCCTAAAATTCTAAAACTCAAAAATTTAAAAATTTAAAAATTCCAGAATGTCATAATTTTAAAATTCAAAAATTTCAAAAGTACAAAATTACAATTTTTCTAAGAGATTTGGTCATAGTCACGCCAATGACAGTGATCCGATTAATAAGTTAATTCGTGCCTGATGATTTACATTTCTCACTGGTATTATGACTTACGTACGTGTTACGACCAGCCGCCTAAACGTACGTTAATCGAATTCTTCCCACGATCGGACAAACATCGTGTTACGGCCACCCGCCTAAACAATCGATATTCGAACAATTGAACTCCTCACGACCGGACACCTAAACATCATATTACGATCACCTACTTAAGTATTCGATAAGACGCGTTCTCGCGGACATCCCACCTTGTCAATCATCGGCCCCTTCTCCACCACCAACGACATTATAAAAGACCTTACCGGACATAAGCAGAGTCAGTCGAGATCATATTATAAAAATAAAGTCTAAACCTTTAAAAGTGCTATTCATTTAAAAACCTGTGAACTTTCTACGTGACATACGCGTAGATCGTTTGAATTATACTCACAGAGCATGAAACATACGAATGATGTTAGATTACCATTACACATTTTCAAGGGTGAAAAATTTGAACGTCGAAAGAAAATCGATTGGACGAGTCAGCAGGTGAACTACGATACTGATAATTTGTGACACGCGATTTCCTACCGAATGAAAACTTGATGCCATCACGTGGATTGGCTGAGCTGCGTGCAGACGCCTTCGTTATTTTATCGAGCTACCTAAAATCCTCACACACGCACAGCTATTCTCTTCCTTCCTATTTCACTGTTAAACACCAACGATTTTGAATAAATTCTTTTATTATATCAGAAAGTGATTTTATTAACGGCAATTTTTTGCTAATGCGTTATGTGATGATAATTATTGAATTCCATAAAATAAAATGTAGAAAAAAACGATGTTACAAATCTTATTTTTGAGATTTACTGCGGAGTTCATGAATAAACAAAGATTCTTCATTGAATTACATAGAAGATATATATATAAACGTTTATATTGTAAGATAAAGAATACATAAAAAAAATAACAAGAAGTTGTTCGTATCTTTCCTCATTTTGTGTAACCTTATGAAGTTAATTAATTTAGTAGTTGAAAAGATCGAAATTACAGAAAATATACTCATGACAAAATGAATTTGGTATACAGATTTACAATACAAAATTATAAACTTCTGGCTGCGATGAAGTGGTTGTCTTGAAATGCTCGTAATGTAAAAAAGATTTATGCTTTACAATCACTTTTTCGAGAAATACCATTATTGTGAAAAATATATTGAATAATTAACATTAATTGTTTTTTAAGAAGCAACTCTCGCACATGGAACGATAAAATTTCAAATATAATAAAGTCGTTATAATATCTGTTTATCCTTAGTTTCTGTATGGAGGTACAGTTTTTATAAACAAATATTCAAGAAAATGTGATAATGTTTAATTGGGAAACCCTATTAAAAATATGCTATTTTTTAAATATATTATTAAATTATTATTGTTTGTATTATTTAAACAACTGGATTTTTTACAGACCTATTTATATTCATTGAATTAATCGTCAAAAATACTAATTTCATCAATTTACACAATTTCTTTAACTTCTGTAGTTTCAGAGATATTCGTCAAAATACATATGTTTCGCATCCCCAATATAAAGGCCGATATAAAAGAAATATGTGAGATATTTTTACGACTACTATATTATACACAAGTTTCATCGAAATCGGCGATGGGCACCTCGGTATGTCCTCTTACAAGAATAACTATTTTATAGAATTTGTTCTTAAAGCTATAATTGGGACTATTAATCTTTTAATTAAGACGATTAACCATGTTAAATTATTTACTGAGCAATATAAATAACAATTACAATATATGTTTATTATAATCAAATTTCGCTAAGATTAAACTATTGTTAATAAACTGGAATTAATCAGAATAATTTCTGAATGCTAATTTGCTAATGACAAATAAACTCATAGAAATAAGCTATTTGATATTTAGATAATTGGATACTAATCATGTGTCTTATTGTTAGTAATGAAATTGACTTTACTGAAAACGGAGTTAATTAAATTGGCTTTTGAACAATTTAGTTATAGGTATTATGCAGATAAATAAATATTTCAAATATAAGTAATACAAATATTTTCGATAATGAAAGCTGCATGTATGGTACAGGGTACAGGAGGTATCTCAGGGCAAATGGCGATAAGGAGAAAAGTGGTCCCACAATTTAAGTGTAAACGTTTACTGAGGAAAACTTTCTTAAATATATATTTTACTTTTAATTTTTTAAAATTATGTATTAAATTTTATAACATTTAAAAATCACTGGCGTAACTAGGATGTTTTTCCAAACGAGGGAGGGGGGTAGCAGGTCCTTTAGAAATTTTTAGAGTCGTGGATTTTTCAGTTCTGGAATTTTGGTAATCTGGAATTATAAAATTTTTAAATCTTGAAGTTTTTGAATGGTGAGGAAGGTATTCCACATTTTTGGGAGAACTAGGCTTCCCTTGGCCTGTATTTACTTACGCCAGTGTTAATAACTAATTTTGTTCAAAATTACTCTACATGTTAGTGTTTTCAAGATTAGCATTTCGAGAGGCATCATATTTTAAATCAATTATTCATACAATATTTAAATATTTAATATTTCTTGTTGCAAGGAGATTTATTCATTATTATAATAATATTGTCAATAATAATCGCCATTTTTGCTAGGGAAGTCTAGCGTGTCTGATACGGGAGATCGAGGCTATTTGACTAATTTCCCTTAATTGTTATATTATAGAATAGTGGTTCTATTCACGATATTAAAACAAATGAGATGACTAGTGTGCCATTTAATGTGGCCATTTAATATGACAGAAAATCGCCTGTTATATCAGTAAGAATAAGAAATCTAAAAACATCAGCAGTAAGTAAATATTTTTGCCTTGATTTGTTAAAGGTGTGCGGGTACCCGAGATTTCCGAGTCGGGTCGAAAAAAGTTGTGTGGGATTGGGTGAGCTCACGATTTGAGAGCTTTTTCTGGGGAAGCCTGATTTGATCACGAGTGTACCTATAAATGTCCGAACAAATATTCATATCCAAAATAGATAATACAATTTTCATTTTGGATAATGAATAATTCTTTGGAATGCATTTTAAATAAATTTAATATAAATAAAGGTATGTGTATATTCTGACGTTCTTAAATAATATTTGATTATAATTTTAAATAGAATTTGAATACTTAATTATCTTATATGTACTGTTTTTTTATAACAAAAAATGTTGTAACGTAATCCGTTATTCAATTTCAATCATATGTACATATTATATGATTCAATGTCTCTATGTTCAAGTTTTCTGCTTTCAGATTTACATGAATTATGTAAAGTGATTTCAACCAATGATTTTCAAATGCAGATAAATTTTTACGAACTTATTGCTTATTGATAGCTACTACAATCACTGACCAGCTCAACATTTCCGAGCGAACTTCGATTAATCATGCAGCACAATTCTACTCAAACTGCTGTGTTTTATTGCAAGACAACACAATGGCGTGATGAGCTATCAGTCATCCTTGACTTTCAGCAAGTCAGGTTGTACATTGTCGTGAAACGATACCACCAACATCCCATCGTCAATATATCACACAGTATAGAGGCATATGTGTCATCGTAGTTGCATCGTGTTCTACAATGATATAGGGTACATTACTGCCTTTGTAATTAAGCGTACAATAATACTTCCATTAAAACAAACGTATGTATACAGGGTGAGTCGCCTAAGGCAAGCCACCTGAATAACTCCTACATTTGTGGAGATAGAAAAAAATGTTTCAGACAAAAATTGTTTGGTTTCGATGAGCTCATTGCGCGGTGTACATAACTTTTCTTCAGATGGAGGCGTTTAGGAGATTTGAAGGTCAACTTAATTTTTTTAAACGGAATGGGGTACTTTTTTATGCATCAAACGATGCAGCTAGATATTCTTTATGAAAAAAAGTACTGACCTATGTATGTCCTATGAGCACGAATCGGTCTGAAATTTTTTCTGTAGAATCATTAAAGAGTTCTCTAAATACCCTGAAAATTTCATGATGGAACACGCAGAATTGCCGGAGTTATAAAATTTTATTGCTGCGCCGCTACTCTACATTTTTTCAAATAGCCAGCCATCGGTTAACAACTACGGAATAAGTCGACACGTTTTTGGTACTTTTGTCTAAAAACCCTTAAAAGGCAATAAAAATATGGCAAAACGACTTCGACGGTTCACTTTTCCAGAACACCGTTCAGTTTTATTTAGGAAAGCAACGAGACAAGCGGTTTCAGTTAAGCGTTTAGTATTGTGCATAACTGTGCTGTGTACTTTTCAGTTTCTTGTTTTTCTTAGTTTAAAACTGTAATTGTGTACTGGTGGAAAGCAAAAATTCCGCGAAGATATTGTTCCAATCCATTTAGTTTACCTCGACATTCAAATGTAACTAAAAATCTTTGTTCAGTTACAACCGCGTTTCATGAAAAATATCAGAATATAATATTAGGAGAAAATTTGTGCTGCATGTGTAAAATGCGAGTAATTCGATCATCTAGATTAAATCGTCCAAATCTTCCTATCGTAAACGTAAATGAGCCGGGTTGTTCTTCAACAGTTCAAGAGCCAGTTGCTGGTCTAAGTAATGTAGAACAAGTAATAAGCAACAATTCGTCAAATTCGGGAACAAATACAGATAGTTATGTAGAAGAAATAGATCGGGAATGCATTCCCTTCCTGCAGAAAAAAGAAAAAGTATGTATTAGAAACAATTATTTACTCCAATTTGTATTTGTAAGCGGATAGACCGAAAAGTAACGGCGGCCAAGTGCAGCGGCGCATGGGGACCGTACGGCGCGCGATGGTCCGCCGGTAGGTCATACGCAGCAATAAAATTTTATAACTCCGGCAATTCTGCGTGTTTCATCATGAAATTTTCAGGGTATTTAGAAAACTCTTTAATGATTCTACAGAAAAAATTTCAGACCGATTCGTGCGCCCCCTTGGGGTTATTTTCAAGTTTGAAAATTATAAACATTATTTATAACAATTTGAAGATTGCGTTGACACATGTAGTAATTTTTTTATTAAACTTTGAAGTTTTACCTATAAAATGCCGGTTCATGCATGTCGATATCTATAATACTTTCCGAGCTATGATTTTTTGAAAAAAAAGTGACTCTAAACTTTCAGTCCTTATAACTCGGAAAGTTTAAACAATATCGAGGAACGGAGCATCGATTTTTTGTTCGTACATTGGGTTCTACAAGCCTATAAAATTTAACAAAAATCCAAGACCATGCGGGAAAATGTGTGATCACTTTGCGTGGAATGGCCCGTATACAGAATTTTGAATTCTTCAATCTTACTTATGACTGAAATTGATTAATAAAGGCATTGATGAAATATTCATAATTTCTTCATAAGTACCTATTATATACAAATGATGGGTGTTGAAGTAAGTACATATGTACACGTACCTAACTATAAATTATAGGATATTATTACAATTGGTACTTCGTTCCTTATAATAAAGTATGATTGTAATAACATAATAATAGTAGATACATGCATTTTATAACTATCAACTAGTTCATATCTGAAATTTAAAAAAAAATGTGATTGGATTAACACTCCTGATCAAATCAGACTTCCCTAAGGAAAATAGCAATATAAGGGAAGGAGGGATTCTCAAAATTTTAGTTCTGACGATATTAATGTTAAAACTAATTTAGAAAATAATAATATAATTTTTAATTATTCAATTAAAATAATTTAGATCAAGTCATAAATTTAAAGCGACAGAAGATTGGGAAAAATGTTATTAAGTAAAATTAAATGGCGTCAAATAGAGTACTGCGTGATGTACAGCTAGATCCAGAAATGGAAATGTTTTAAAGATTTCAATCTCATGCAATGAAAATTATGCATAATTAAAGTTTTTCAATTATTTGATATAGAACGATCTATGAATAGTTCAATAGACTGCAAATGACTTTGTGTTAATACGTAAATATAAAATCCAACAAAAGAAAACAATAAAATATTTTTGAAAATTTATAGAACGAATATACTGTTTTGAAACGCCGTGAAATATAAACGACGTAGTCTAAATGTTTAAAAGAAATGTTTATAAGCTTGGAAAAGCATTTAAAATATCAAGAATTTCGTTTTTAGAAGTTTCAATACAATTGTAAAATATTTCATACGTGCAAATGCAGGTACTGTTATTTAAAAGAAACTTCTTTGTGTAACAATACATTGTCTATAAAGTACAATTGTAAATGGCTTTAGTTAATTAATTTGATAGTAGAAAGGAATGTTTTTCTATTAAAAAAAAAGTTGTTTTATCCTTTTGAGTTTTCAGAGTCAGTTACTCCAAATTGATTGAAACGATTTCAATCAATGGAAATTCGTTTGAGAGCTGAAGCTTTTACAAAAAGAACTGGTGTCTCTTTGCTACTGAAATTTATTGGATTGTTCCTATAAATTTTTACTGATTTCTTTTGTTTTCCATTCACAATAATGTAACCAAAGGAAGCTTTTGTCAAATTGTTTTACTAAATCAGCTTTGTCTATAATCCAGCTCACATTTTGTAAAATATGGAAAATTATGAAGTCCATGGAACATATTTTCAAGTAATTTATTATACATCTAGTATAAAGAACAATATGTATTTTATTATTTTCAAAGCGACTTTTCAATCGTCTACTTTGAAAAATGGTTTATATAATATTTCATGAAAAAACAGATGAAGCTTATACAAAACAAATACAGATATGTACAAGGTTATAAATTGGATTCTCTTGCACAATAATTTATCAGCTAATAATAATAGTAAATTTTCGAGTCACATATTGTATAATAATTAGTAGACTTCTACCATTTTCGGAATTTCATAAGTTATATCACTAATTTTATTAGTCCATTTATTACGATTTATTTATAATACTTTTCTGTATAAATTAAAAACGAAAATGTCACGATTAACTTAATTGTTATAAGTTAATATTTCCTCAAACAGTGGCGGGTCCAGAAGTTTTTTTGGAGGGAAGGAGGGCGGAATGTGTAACAGTAGTTACATAAATATGCATATATTTGATGTTGGGTTTTGGTCACCAAAAGATGGTTCTTGTTATTTTTGTTACTAAATAGTTGGCTCTGCCTGCTTTCCCCCCTTTTTCACTTTTTTCAGAGAATTTGCCGATTCGATTGAGTCCCGAGTTCGGCAAATTCTCTGCTTTAAAATGATCTGAAGACCATGATACTACGACTATCTTTTGCCGGGATACAGTGAGTTAAAGATAAAACGGTAATTGTGAGGTTTTGAAGCATGTCGCTAAAAAGACCCCGTACATCAAAATGTTCATCAAAATGAAAAAGCAAGAGACGCAGCTTGCTCTTTCTACTGCTTCTTTACCGAATGACCTACGATGATTTGATCGGTTTCTAGGAGCGGTTAAAGTTAAAAGGACGACTTTTACTTCAAAATTAAATAACTCTGCCAAAAAAAATCGTACAACCAACAAATACTGATTTTACATAGGAAGGTCGTCGCTTTCGAATGGTACAAATGCAACTTGCTAAAAAAATTTTGTTAGTGCCATGCAACGTTACAAAGTTGAACAAAATTTTTCAAAAGTTTCCAAGTGCTACTTATTATATCATTATAACTTTTATAAAATTCAACATAGCTAAAATCTTAAAAGAGAATCTGAAAATAGAAATTTTACAACTACAAATGATCTTTCCGCGATATTGAATCGACCATTTTTCTCAAAGTTATAACCATCTGAATCTCGTCCTATTTTTCGGGTTTGTAGAGGTGATACCTTAATTGTTTTGCGGGGTGTATTTTATTACTCTTGAGGGAGCAGGGGGACCGCCTCCTATGGATCCGCCACTGCCCTCAAAATTATTTAATTTTTGTTTAAGATAGTTCCACATTACCAATAGCGTTTAAAATGTTCATATGAATAAATTTAAGTAAGATACCTTGAATATAAAACAATTATTATATAATTTATTTTTCTAAAAGAAAAAAAAAAACAATCATTTCTTCTTTTAAACAACTTTGCTATTAATGGAAAAACATAAAATATATTAAGGAGTGTAAAATGAGATACGAATGGGGAAGCAAACAAAAGAGAAAAGTAGAATTTTAGTACATGTATGAATGAAAGGAAGACGGAAAAGAGAAATTAGAACAACGTCATGCGAAAAGAGATACACAGGCTTTAAATTTCAGTACTGAGTCTCTCTCATCTATTCAATGGTAATTCAGTGCTAATTTAAATACGTTCATTATAATTCAAACATATTCATTATTCAGTTAAGAACCGTCTGTTATTTTATCGATTATTCTATGCTTTGATAATACATTTTACTAAACCTCCGCCTCGTACACATTAGAATACACAATCGTCCCCAGTCAAATTCCCCACTTAAAGAAGTCGAGTATTCAGTGCTTTATTAGCAATTAAATACAAATATTTGTGCGCATAGTATTGTTTGAAGCGAAGAATGACTACCAAGAAACCGAATTCCTTCTCTGTTTAATTTTCCCACCTCGTGCAAACTTCGCTGGATCGACTCGACTGTAATGTTTCTTAGTTTTGATCTGTCTTAATCTCAGCTTTCAAATTATCTGAAAAGACTTAAATAGGCTCTCTGTTTCAACTTTCATTTGATAAAGTGGTGTCATCAAAAGATAAATTAAATTATTTGAAATAACATGATGCTTTTTAACGTCTGATATGATCTTATAGATTATGGTATCTCAAAATTATGGTAAAATTTCTTCTGCAATGTTTAACACGAAGATAGAGAATTTTACATGATACTAGTTTATGTAACTGTAAGTATTCTTTTTAAACATTCAGTGCCGGATTAATAGGGAGTCTAAGGGGGGCTATAGCTTCAGGCCTCATTCATCAGGGAGAGCGAAGGCCCGTTCTAAGCTTATCATTTATTATGTCGAAAAATTCCAAAATTTGGAATCCGCACAACTAGAACAAAAAAGATTTCTTCATTTCTTAATATAGATATCAACTGATCCCCCCCCCCCCCCCCCCCCCCCCCTCACACCCCCCACATCCCATTAAGAGATTAAAATCTTTTTTTCAATAAATGCCGAAATATCTTAATAGGTATATTTAAAAAAAACTGTTTTTCTGGAGATACAGGTTAGTGAACTTGTGATGTTCTGGAATTTACAGCTTAAATTGTTTACGATTATAAAAGCATATTGGATTGAATAATAAATTCATTTAATTACTTCATAGGCATTGCTGCCGCGAGAGCTATAGCTAAATATTATTTCACTGACAGATACTAGATGAGTATGTTAAATACACTTACATTTTTTGCTATTGATGCGAGAAATATGTTTTTTTTTTGTTATATAAATTGTTACTTTACAATTTGTCCATTGGACATTAGGTAAATTTTTATACGGATAACATAGCATGTGGGTGACAATTTCCAGTGAAATGCCACCTCAGGGCGATTATTTCATTTTTATTGTTTTAAGTGTATAAGTCAACAGGATGTATCCTCCTTAATCTTCTTACGATACTGGTTGTGCGTATCTCCGCAATTAGCTGATTGGAATGTGTTTCAATTTTCTCTTTATGTTTCTTTGCGTATCTGTTTATTTCCTCCTTAACCGTTGGGATTTTTAAGTCTTTACGTATGTCGCGTTTCTAGAATACCACGGTGCATTAACTACTGTTCTCAGTATTTTTGATTGTAGTGACTCTAGTTTTGTTACACGGCTCATTGCAGCAGTTCTCCATAATGGTATTCCATAGGTTCATATTGGTTTTATGATTGTTTTATAAATTTCTAATTTATTTTCTATGCTGAGTTTGGATTTCTGGCTAGTTAATCAATGCATTTGTCGTCTTTTAATTCGTATGTTATCTGTTATTGCTTTGATGTGATGCTTCCATGTAAGTCTTGAATCCAAGTGGAACCCTAAATATTTTACTCGTTTTGTTTGAGGGATAACCATGTTATTTAGTTTGATATCCGGTGATTTTTCCTTGCAGTGAGTGAATGTGATGCGATTACATTTGTTGGGATTTACTTTTATTTTTTTCTCCGTGAGCCATTTTCCTATTTTTATAATATGTTCTTCTAGTAATGTGGTTGCTACTTTTGGATCGTTATGTATAGCTAGTACATATAGCGGTATCACCAGCAAACGTTTGTATTTACTTTTGTCGGTGGTTGAAATATCAGCTATGTAGAGAAATATATGTATAATAAAATTTAACCTCCTTTAATGTTCACCAAAGATACCACAAAAAAGCCTTGTAATTACTCGTAGGTCGTGCAACGAAATTAGATATAGGGCAAAGGTTTAATGTTCTTAAATCTTCGAGGTGTAAGTAGGGATGGGCAATATGTTTCGATTAATTAAATATCGATAGTTTTTTTCCTAATAATCGATTATTTTTTTCGATGTTTCTACAAATCAATTAATCGATTATCGATACTTTTTTACATAACATCGATATTTTTTATCTCTGTGAGAAAACTGAACAGCATGACATGATAACGCGACGCGCACTATTCAATGAGCGTATAATTTTCGAGAAATGTTATATGCTCATTGGGTATAAGTCGTGTTCCGAAATTCATTGCTAGCACTGAAAATCTGTAATACGTAATTAGATTCCTGCACTGGCAGTGAATTTCGGAATGCGACTAAATAAGAACGCCTTACGCATTTGTGTTATTATATTCTTGTGACTTATTCTATAATCTTAGATTTAAAAAATTATCTTATCCAAATACTCCATCTATAATTTTCTTTATCATCTCAATCCTTTTGCATCTGTTCTACTATTGCAGGTACAGTGACTTTTTATAATGTACGCATAATATTTTGATGTTTATGCATATCTATTCTTAGAATATCCCATTCCCTATAGATTTAATAAAAACATTTTTTCTAGTCACGAAGTCAACCCTGTTGCACTTACAGTTCAAGAACTCGCAAAATACTATTACTACTTGGAGGAAATTCATTAATATTCTTCGAAGTTAACATTAAATGTACGATTCTGATTTAACTATATTTTTTAGGAAAACTTAAATAAGAAAGATAGTGTAATTTTTTGTTTACCTGTATATACATTTTCTAGGCTACACTCTAGGAAATGTGCTCAGGGTGATGTTTCCAAAATCAGCCCTAGTAAAAAAGAATTCGATACTTCGATATCTTTTAAAAAGCATCGATGTTCAATTATCGATTTTTTAACTAATCGATTATTTTATCATCGATATTTTTGTCGAACATCGCCCATCCTTAGGTGTAAGTATAAAGAATAAGTTTATAGGTACATACTTTAAATGTTAACGGAAAAAAAATTTGTCAAAGATATTCCATCAGGTGGTTGTCATGACTGTAGCAATGGGCACTGTTTCAGGAATATCTATCGGTTTTAAAATGTATATTGACCAGAATGTTTCCATTTCAGTTAACTATTGAGGTTTATTTAACCACGATTGGTTGTAACAAAATTCTACGGGACATAGACCGCGAAATATTACATCCGCGGAATTGTGTTCCGAACTAACGTGATACCGTTGATACTAATTTACTTGCAATTGTTTAGACGTCCAAAATCAATATACATATGAGGCTGAAACCTGATTTGTGAGAAACCTATGGTTCCCATCGCCGCTCTGTGTATGCGCGTGTGGATGTTCGCCTTCGTGACGAACCGCGTTGTCTTTTGTCTTCTTGCACCCCGATTGCAATATGGCGATAGACGTGTAAAATGCAAGTGTACATAAACCATATTAAAGTAACGTGTCAACGGTATTGTGTTGCCTGAGTTTCCCGACCTGCTCCGTTTAACATGATTTAATCGCTAATGTATGCATTACTGAACCCGTTAAAGGTTGAGAATCGCTGATCTAGTGAAGCGATGAACGCATATAATTGGATATAATGATATAAACATTTGTAGTGGTATGACTTAGGATTTTGAGAATGATAAATAGATGCTTATTGTTCCACATTTAATGACTGCTCGCAGGTATAAGTAAGTTATATATACACGTTCACTCACATCGCAGCACGCAAGCTCTTCGCTATAACGTAACCACTTAACATAAATCTCTAATAATACAGATTTATCTCATTCTAATTTTTATTTCCATAATCTTTGCACTTTAATGTCTGTTAGGCTGAATAATTTGAAAAGGATCAAATAATAGTAATGAAACATTGTACTAAAAAATTAATTCTTAATGTTTTTAATACACCATGTTATAAAATATCGAACTAGATATGGCTATTTCTACTGTGACAATCAACATATATGATAGTTTAAGAATTTCCAGGACTTTTTCTAAATATTATTTAGTAGCCAAAACTGGAACTTTGTAAATTTTGATTTCAGTTCCATTTTGTCTAAAGTGGACGTAAGTAGAACCTTAAAGTAGTTGAAGTTTTATTTATATGTAAATCTCTATTTTGAAATTTCATTTTAGACTCTCACTACATCTCAGAACAGGTTCAAAATAGAATTCAAATTTCAGCTTCGGGTGGTTTAAATCGACCACAAACGAAAATCCTACATAATCTTCATGACGAGAGAAAATGTACGTATTTAAAGATTTGTCTGGTGAGAGTAACAGAGGAAAAATTCGAATCTTTAGAAACTACGGCTGTGAATTAGTTCGTTGTATGGAAAATCCTCAAGGAGGGATGCTACAACTCCTTCAACTGTCATCAATAACCGAGTAAAAGCTTTATCGCATTTAAATTGGATATCCAAACGAGCTTACAATGAAAGAAAAAGATTCAAGCAGATCCTTTTCTTGCTGTGGAAGAAGAATAGATCTTCTACGAGAATAGATATCAATCTATCAGATAAACTACAAGAGCTGAAGTGAGGAACGACTCAAAATAATACAAATTCATCGATGTAACTAGAACTTCTTTTTCTAGAGTGGGTCAAGTCCCTTAGCTTTATTAATGGTGTTAAATATTTAACATCTTGTATATCGTACGATTGTACAAAAGAAAATAATTGTCAAATCATAGAATTTAAGAATTTGAGAATTTTGAAAATTTTGAACTTGAGAATTTTAGACCTTAAAAAATTTGAAATTTTTACATTTTGGAATTTCAACACTTTTAAGTTTTAGAATTTTAAATTCTAGCATTCTGGAATTTTGGAATCTGAAAATGTTGAAGAGGAAACACGCTAACCCCTACATCCTTGCGCCACTATACTATAAATCATTTTTATATCATGTTTATAAAAACTATTATCGGTGTATAAAATTTACAAATGTGCAAATAGATTAATAGGTGGACTGTCAACTGACGTTATTAATTTAATTATTAAAGAAATACATATACGCCGTTACATACAGAACAAACATAAAAGGATGCACAGTTAAGGTCTCTATGGTTGTATTCAATATACCTCATAATTAAACTTTCAATGGTTGCAAACAATTTCAAGTATGTCAACTATGTACAATTTTGGAATTTATAATAACATTTCCTGATAAGACTATAGGTGGAATTATTAAAACATAAATCAAACAACTGTTTCGCGGCATTGTATATTTAACAGACAGCATCAATAATAATATTTCGGCAATAGTACGATCTTTACCATCGACAGCAATAAACTCATTGTAATTCACAACCTATTGTTTGCTCTGGTAGGTTTACCTTATAAAATCGCAGGATTTAGAAATCCGAACAGCAGGTTATTGCACTAATTTAGAAGCACGATTAGTCATATTAACATGTATCTTAAAAATTCGCCTAAGCTGGCCGGAGTGGTAATTTGTCACGTATTAAAGGAATTACCACCCGAGCACCACATTGGTATAGTAGGACTCGTTGGGCAAAAGTTGTATGGAATAATGAATGAAAAAAAGAAAAGAATAATAGTATCGAATTATTGGTTGCTCATGAACAAGCATGCTGATGCACTTGATCACGACCACGGCTTGAACGCAGAACAAACCCAACACTCTCGTGGTTCGGCCCGTGCTAAAGGCGCGCTCTGATTGGCTAGTGTTTTTTGTTAATAACTCGAAAACGAAGCTTTAATCAACATTTTGGCAAAGGAAAAAGTTGTTTAGAATCACCTTGTCAATCATCCCTTTTCGGTTGTTGACGTAGTCGTTGGACACCCTGTATAATCTTTTACGGGGTCTTGCTATTCCCTTTCACTTTAGTCCTAACTTCCTTTTCCGTGTCTTGAACGGACCCCCTGTGATGCACGTGACTGCAGTGTCCAGTTGTCGGTCCCAGGTACCAACTGTCACCCGGACCATTGAAACCAGTCGCTCGCATCTGGCACACAGCCGATACCTGAGCCATCAGTCGCTCATGCCTGGGATACAACCGATCCTATCTAACTATACGACTCCCACGTACTTACATCACGGCTGCTGGGTTTTCAGCGTCCAGCGAGGTGATTTGCTAAACCGTTCAGCCTATGGCCATTAGTTAAATTCCAAACGTTTGCTAATTGGTCATTTTCGTCAACACCTTCCTCGTTGGACTACCTCTCTGCGGCTCCTTGCTAACCGTTCGTAAGACCCGGAAGAGGGAGAATAGAAACTTGGAACAAGACATCGAAATTCGACTTCACTTCTAAAGTCATACACACAAACACTTGTAAAACAGTCGAACAGAAATATATCTACATTTTACGAGTTAATTATCAGTGTCAAGTTATTCTCCTTGTTATTGCAAAAGGTGGTAAAGAAGTACGTAGCTTCCCGGCAGTGGTAACCCGCATTACATAATAACGGCAACCTCGCCGCGTACTAAAGAATAGCAGCATTTAAAATAAATTTTATGGCGTTAAAAAGTCTATGTGAAGTCGTGTATAAACATATTGAAGTATTTTTTCAAAGTATGTTGTAAACGATCAATGAAACATTTCGTAGTTAACCCTCATGTTTTCAATTTCTCTGAAATATGCTTAAGATTATTATATGTGAGGCCATTTTTTCTTGCAAATTATTTAATAACATTCTAAGAGACGAAATTGGATTGAACGATTACTAGTTTTTTACGAGAGACTAGTTTTTTAAAATGTTCCATCTAAAATGATTTGTAATACATATATTGCTACAGATATTACAGTTATAGTTGGTTAAATTCTAGAAAATGGAAGAGATTCCATGCGAAATGATTTTGTCAGCTGAAGAAGCGACGAACACCATTATCGACAAAATATGGCGGGCAATGCAATTACTGAGAGATATATGGAGAGATATAAAGAAAAAGTAGAACTTGGAGAATCGGATTCGTTACTATTTCCTCGATTTCGAACGTTCGAACATAAAACTCCAAAGTCTATAATGAACTCTTATAAGAATATTGTCAACTACTTTTATATGTCAAATCTTACAAGTTTGCATTTAGAAAAGGTACCTACATTTAAATTAGCTATTTAAATTAAATTAATAAAAACTATAATTCGTAAAAGAATCGTATGTATTATCTGCTACACCATGCTATATTCAAACGTTTTAATAAAAGTACTAGCGATATCAGGGTTGGTTTTGGCCTCTTACAATTAGGCGCCAGCGTTCTAAAGATATTTGATCGTCCCTATCATTGCAGATTTAAAGTGAATTCGTAGCTTAATTCAATCTATGAAAGTCTCCCAGTGTGTTTCTATTACACTTACATATATGTTTCTTCGATCGCTTAGAAATTGGTGTTGTATATCACTGCGTGGATCATGTCCTTGTTAGGGTTGTAAAGCTCAACTGAACCTTTCGGTACGCGACGATACACAACACGTATCCGTCAAATTAATTTTTGACACTTTAATCGATTGCATTTGTATTTCGCTCCGAATGATAGACGTGTGAGCTAATTACTTGGCTGATTTCGTTGCTACTCCGTTTTGAACCGAACGATGTTCAAATGAAAAGAGTCTAACTCACATCCCGACTGCTGGACGTGAGAGATTGTTATTTTGGCCGATTTCGTTTGCCACTCCGTTGATTGGATACAAATGAAAATGTAAAGGAAGACTTCTCGAGTTCTTTTCTATGCGGCGTTCGAAAGAATTGTGTGGAGTGAACCGGCAAATGTTCGCCATAGCACCTCGGAGTGGTGTCAAGGGCGTTGGTGGTTTTTCTGCGTTTTCCAATCAACGTATTTTCCGAAAATTTGTGGACTCGCGTGTACACCCTTTGGCCACTCCTCTTCGAGTCCGGCTGTAAGCTGTCCTGTGGAAGGAGGGGGTTCTCGAAGGTTTGACGGCGTGACGTGGTTTCCTTCAGGTTGACCTTTGTCAACAAACACCGCGTTCAGACTATGCAACTTAGTTGTACAACTTTCCGTGCAATTTCGGGTCCGAATTTTTGTGTTTCTGGCCGTGCCTGTACCAGGTATGCCGCCCGAAAAAGAAAATGATTTTCTCTTGTAGAAATACCAATTTCCGTATTTTTTATCAGATCTTTGCGGAAGCGACGTCAATCGATTCCTTATGTTTTTGCGATCAAAATGAAACCAAACGCGACATAAGTTGAACAATAATTAACCAAGTTACGTGAAAAATCTAAATGTATAGTTAAAAGCCAATTTCGTTAAAACTAGTCCGGTTTACGTGATATGAGGCATCATTTTAATCGGGAGAACACCAGCAATCCATTGGTACCACTTTCATACAGATGCGATGAAAAATAAAGAATTTGATGTTTTGAAAAATTAACACGGTCGGTCGGTTCGACCTTAGGCCGCTGAGCGCCTACCTGAGACCTGTACCCAGTATGTCGTACGAAAAAGAAAATGGTTGTTTTCTCTTGTCGCCTAGTATGTAAGTATTTACCAGCAGCACAGAAAATTGCAAAGGAAAGGAAGGTGGGCTCTACTGGTTATATTCTCATAGGGCCCGCCCATTTTTAAACACAACCGCTGTTCCAGTGAAACATAGAGTAAATAGATAAACCACGTGTTACTAGCCGACCCTTCAGGACTCCGTTTATGACATGTCTCCGAGTTGTTAGGACGGTGGGACGCAAAATTTGAAGCTATGTATTATGTTAGAGAAAATCAAGTTTACTGTCATGCGAAGGTGAAATTGTCGATTATAAAAATTAGAAAAACGTTTATATCATAAACCAACCTTCGAGAAATATCGGGCATTGTATTCCGTGTCGAACGGAACAATATAGTTGGTGAAAAAATCCGTAAAAACATTTGACACAATTATTATTATTTTGTACAAAGATTACAAAATATCAAACAAAAGTAATAAAATATACCCATAATGCCGTCATGTAAACATGTTGTTTCCACGGTTAACAAACATTGGCGTGACTTGGATCTTCTTCCGGCAAGGGCTAGGTTTCTTATGCCGGGTCCACACTGCTGTTCGCGAACAGTTTGCAAACAGTTTGTGAACAGCTCGCGGGCCATGTTCGCCAGCAATGTGGATACTTTCGCGAACAGCGAGCAGGTAGCAGCGAACTCGTCAGCGAACAGCGAACACTGTTCGCTAAGGAGGCGGTACATCAAAGAGTCTGTTTGCGAACTCGAAACATGTCTGGACGCGTTGTAACATATTTCTGTTGAATTTGACGACCGTTCGCAGTTCCGTCATCAGCCAGCGAACAATTGTGCAACCGTTTGCGTTCCGTTTGCGAGCTGTTCACGAACTATGTCTGAGCTTAGGTGTGAAATCTATTCGCGAACTGTTCGCGAACATTTCTATCCAATGTAGACCCGGCATTACAAATTAAAAAATGTCGAATTTTTTAACTTTTAAGATGTGGAATTTTGTAATTCTGGAATTGAAATAGCTCGAAATTTTTAATTCAAATATTTTGACGTTTTGTAATTTTAAAACCTCAGAATTTTGTAATTTTATAATTCTAAAATGTAGGAAATCTGAAATTTTTGAATTTTGGAATTCTAAAATTTTAGAACCTGAATATTTTAGATTTACAATGGGGCCAGGCCCGCCCGAGCCCCTACCCAGTTACACCAATCTTACCAAATATGTTTACGGTCATATCTATATTTTCATTGTAAATGTCAGTGAAACCTCTTAATTCATTTTGAATGAGCCTTTAGAGAATACAATATTATTTATTAATAATGCCATCTCCGCTGTTTAATCGTCGCCACTATATTAAAATATTTATCCTTTAAAGTGCATTATCGGCAACTCTAGGGATTTAGTCACCTGTATACATGCGCGCACTACACGCCTACCAGAAGTGGCTCTGAATAGTATTATTAAACTATAGCTTCATGACTGATTCAACGATTCTTGATGATATTTGGATGCTTATTTGGAATATAGTGTTAACTTACAAAAATTCGAAGAT